TTGGTCTACTGTGTCGATATGGAAGGGAAACAAGATTGTTCCAAATATGATCAAAGCTAGGGTTTTGTTAAAAGCAGCCCATTCTGCCCTTTCAGCCAAAGAGGACAGATGGTCTTCTAACATTGAGACTTTCCATCCCTGGATATTCCCTTTCTCTATCAGGGTAGTCTGCCGGAATGGCAATCGGATGACGGCAGCGACTTGTGTTGTAGAAGTATATGCCCCGTGACGAATATGGACCCCGGCTGATTTGGGCCATTTTAGCATAATCTCATACTCCTCCAAAGTAGGCACCATATCAAACTGCGGAAATTTGAAGCAGTGCAGACTAGAGTTCCAAATATGAACTAGAACTTTGATAAAAATGAGATCGACACAGATCTTCAACAGGTCGAGAATCCGCCCATAGGATTTTTCGAAGTCAGAGCGGACCTCTGGTGGCATTATCGTGCAAAGTCGTTCCAGTTTCTCAGTGTGGTACCGAGGAATGTCCACTTTCTTCAATTGTCTACCAGTCCCCTCCATTTTCTAAAAACCAAAATGCATGTTTTATGAACATGATGCTTATTGTGGGTATGCATGTGAGTGTTTGTTTTTTCCTATTTTTATTTCTGCATGATGTATGATAGTATTCGCGTATTTATTTTCAAAAATAAACTACCTATATGGATGATTTATGAATTTAATGTTTATGAACAAGGTCCCATTTATTTGACTTGGGTCTCTATTTGATTTTATTTTGTTTTAGAGTCTTTTATCTCTTCTGTCGGATTGCGTGGCTACTTAGCTTACAAAGAACCTGAAGTCAGGCTAGCTAAAAGGCAGAATGTCCGAGATAAAATGGTTTATTGCGAAAGAATAATATTAGCATCCTTTATCTCTTCTGTCGGACTGCGTGGCTACTTAGCTTACAAAGAACATGAAACCAGGCTAGCTAAAAGGCAGACTGTCCGAGATAAGGGTGTTTATTATAAAAGATATTTTTATGGATTTTTCTGTTTTTATATGTTGTTTGTTTATGCTATGCAATCAAATGCAACAAACAAATGCACACACAATTCAATCATCCGCGATTAAGCGAGAAGTCATTTTAATCACGAGGTAGGGTTTTCCTAAAGAAAAATGCATTGGCAAGGGTAGGTTCAAACTATTCTCACTAAGGCTTAGGTCCCCACTCTCCAGCCTTTCGACCATGCTTAGCACTAAGGCCATAGTCAGTCTTTGTGCCAAAAGAGGAAGGTTATCACCTTGAGTGGTGGTTTCTGATCATACTGGTGGGCACATGGCCCTCACTATGGCAAACCGTACCTGTCACCCACTCCCTATGGATTTCTAACTTGCCCCCGGGTATAGAGGGAACTGTTGTGTGAAAAGATTTGTGTACAGTTTGTATTTCAAACAATTGCGTAAAATAAACAAATAACAGTTATTAAAGTCAGACAATTAAAGCATGTTATAATACAAGGTAGGGTAAAAGCAAAATTTCTAAGTTTATTTATTAAACTGACCCATCACTAAATGGGATCAACTCTCTAAGCTTCCCCAGTGGAGTCGCCATCTGTCGTCGCCGTCAAAAGGAGGCAGTCGGAGCGACGCGATGGTTCCGACTTACCGTTTTTGCGTTTTATTATGGGTGGAGTTACAACGCCTTTAGGTTGTCCGATAACCGGGCTGAACCTAAGGGCAAGGTTTTCAAAAAGGAGCTCTTAGATTGTCCGATAATTGGGCTGACCTAAGAGCAAGATTGAGAGGGTTCTTATGGAGTCGCCACCGATATTTTTACCAGAAACATCGAAAAAGGAAAGAAAAAGGCGTTGGTTTTTTAAGAAAAACCAACTTTGGTCATTAAACCCAGAGTTGGGTAAGGGAGTTAGTTACGTGTAAGGGAGGTATCATCTCCCCTACGACGCCCCTTTCAGGTTCCCTATGATGGGCCAGTTATTTTATAAATAAACTTTTGAAATAACGCTTTTCCCTTTTATTTGCGGAATAAAATGATGACTACATGGCCCTAATTAACGCATATATAAATAATAAAGCGATAAAAGAGAGAGAGGGAGAATGAAGAAACCCTTCACTCTACAATGCCGCTTTTTTCATTATAAAAAACTCTCTTAAAACACTCAGAAACTCGGGAAATGCTTCGGAGGGGCTCTAAAAGAGGAATTCTAAGAAATTGTAGAAGGAAGAATGGAAGAGCTGTGTGAAATGAAGGGGAGAGCGCCCCCTATTTATAGGGATTCGCGCCTGTCAGGTCGAGACGGTCGTCTCACCTAGCAAGGTCGAGATGGTCGTCTCGCCATTCGGGACGACCGTCTCGACTTCCAAAAATGGCGAAACGGTCGTCTAGCCAATCGGGACGGCTATCTCGACTTGCCAAATGACGAGAGGGCCGTCTCGCCAATCGGGAGGGTGGTCTCGCCAATGGCAAGTGGCGAGATGGCCGTCTCGCCAAACGAGACAGCCGTCTCGACTTACCATTCAGCGAGACGGCGGTCCCGAAAAGCGAGATGGCGGTCTTGATCCCTTAAGGTGGGTTTTCACAAAATGGGTTCTATGGAGTCACCACCAATGTTTTAACCATAAACATTGGAAAAGGGTAAAAAAAGAAGGTGTTGGTTAAGAAAACCAACTTTGGCCATTATAACCAGAATTGGGTAAGGGATTTAGTTACGCGTGGGGAAGGTGTTAGCACCCCACAGTGCCGCTTTTGAGTTCCCTATGATGGATTAATTCATAAAATAAAGATTTTAGAAATTATGCATTTACCCTATTTATTTATTTATTTGCAATATTTATTTAAATATCTACATGGCCCTAATTCCTAATGCACACAAAGGAAAGCGATAAAAAGAGTAAGGGATTGAAAAGAACCTCCGAAGCGAGCTTTTATAAATCTTTGAACTTGAGGACGTTTTTTGGCAGTCCCCTCACACTACACGAGCACTCCTCCCTCGAACAAGTAAAAATATTAAACTGTCGAGAGTTGGATGTCTTAAAAGGAGCCTTCCTTAACCGATTTTCAATCAGAATGATCACTCAAAGTCTAGAACAGTGTCTAGAAGTGTCTCTAGGTGTGAGAATGTGTGAAAGAGTGTGAGGACTGACGTCCTATTTATAGGCTCGCTCACCAAGGAGGTTGGGACGACTGTCCCAAATTTTGTCAGGTGGGACAGTCGTATGGGATTTGGGACGGTCGTCCCAAGCCACTAAAGAGGGTGGGACGGCCGTCTAGATTTTGCGACGGTCATCCCAGGCCACCAAAGAAGGTGGGACGGTCGTCTGGGATCTGGGATGGTCGTCCTAGGCTACTGAAGAGGGTGGGACGGCTGTCCCAGTCTTTCTAACAAAATTTTATTTTTTATTTTCTAAGAAAATCCTCCTTTTCTTAAATGGAACCTAGTGAACAATACTAGGGGCCCTATGAAGCCTTATCCATCTTCAAAACAGAGGATTTCTGAACTTTATTGTAAGGCCGAGCAAGATTTGGGGTCTACAATGTACAACTCTTAGGTTCAACATAAAACAACTTTTTGATATAACTACAATCAACCTAATAATTCCAACCAATTAGAAAGTTTACTAATGGTGACTTTTATCTTGTTGTTCTATGTTGATGGCATACTTATTGTTGGGAAAAAATATTTTGAGAATTGACAAGTTAAAGAAGCAATTGGACGAATCATTTGCCATGAAAGACAAGAAAGCTACTGAAAATATTCTTGCGACTCATTTTAAATTGAGTGTTAAACATAGTTCTTCAAATGAAGTTGAGAAGACATATGAGCATAGTTCCTTATGCATTTGTAGTGTATAATTTGATGTATGCAATGGTATGTACAAGACCATATTATGCACATGTTATTGGTATAGTAAGTCGATTTTTGTCAAACTTAGATAGAGAGCATTAGAATGTTGTGAAATGGATTTTGAGGTATCTTCATGTACTAGTGAGTTGAGGCTTTGTTTCGAAGGTGATAAACCTACTTTGATGGGTTACTCAAACTTAGGTATGGTTGGAGACATTGATTTCAAAAAGTCTAATTCAATCTATTTGATTAAGTTTGTACGGGGACATGTAGCTATTGTCAATCAAGATTGCAAAGGTGCGTAGCATTGTCTACTACAAAGGTAAAATTCATTATCATTACAAAATCATGCAAGGAGTTGTTATAATTAAAAAAAAAATCTTAGGAGAGCTTGGTTTTGTACAAAACAACTATCCATTATTTGTGAACATTCAAAGTGTTGGTAAGAATCCAACTTTCCATTCCATGTTCAAACATATTGATGTGAGGTATGATTAGATACATGATGCTTTAGATGCTAAGTTGTTGTAGTTGGATAAAGTTTATACAAATAGCAATAGTGCTTAAATGATAACTAAGGCATTGTCAAGGCAAAAGTTTGAAATTTGTTATGAGATCATTAGATTGGTGGCACCTCCACATAGTTTTTAGGGGAGATGTGTTGGGTTGGACTCCCAACTATGTGTCTAAATATTTCAAACTAGTCAAACTAATTTTATCTCACTTAAAATAAGTGGAAATGGGTCTTTTAGGTAAGGAGAGTATTGGTTTTCATAGTCTTTGAAAGAGAAAAAGGAGAGAGAAAATTGATTGACATATTTATCGAGTTTACTCAGTAAAATAATGATTTCTGCTTCATTCACCATTAGATCAGACTTAAATTTTGACAACAGGTTTGTGGTTAGAGAAATCAATTTCATATTATTGCTCTATTTTAGATTTCATTTTCTTTGTTCTTCAAATTTAAGAGCATTATTGATTTGATGTATTAGCTTATTGTAGACACTTGTTTGTACATTTGATCTGACTCCCTTGTACCATATTTGATTTTAGTGGAGTTTGATTAATTGACTTGTGTCCGTGGATTTTTTTACTTCTCATATTGAGATGATTTTCTCACGTTAAAATTATTGGTGTCTTCTTTTGTAATTATTGTTGTCATTTTCTATTATTGTTACTCTTCACCTATTCTTACAAATTTGGGGGAATTATGCCACTAAGTGATTGAGGAATGATCCCATCATTGTCATTCCATGCTTCCTTTATTATTTAGAGTGGTAACAAGATCATCAATGATATGCATCATCTCATTAAAGGAACTAGAATTGCACCAATTATCTTTCCAAAAGTTCACAGAAACTAATAATCCAAGAGAAGTTCTCTCTCATGATAATACTTTTCTACTCATATGCAGCCAAATGGAAGAAGGTTTGTACTTGGTCATGAACGTGTTAACTTTCATAAAGCCATGTCCCATGAAGTAACGAGTCTTAGGAGCTCCTTTGAATATTGTTTTACCAAGATATGAGAAAGGAATAGTGTCTCCCAAAACCAAGTGTGTGAGATATTCTCCTATTGAAGGCACCATAAGTTGCTTGAATGAAAAATTGGCGCTTTGTCAGATTGATGTACTGTCCAGATTCTTCAACATACTATGTTTTTGTTTGCTCTACAGAAAATAAATACATCATAAACAAATAATACATGTGAGGGAAATTTTATACCTTTAGGACTAGCCATAGAGAGGATTTTGTGTTGTTGAATCATACTACTTATTCCATACTCAAAACGTCTTCGACCAAGAAAAACAACTAAGGGGAAAGAGGGTCACCCTGCCTAACCCCTTTTTCATAGTTATATAGCTAACATACCATTTACCAGAATAGAAAGCGTAGCTGAATGTAGTATGGTGCAAATCCATTTACAAAATCTATCATGAAAATCAAAGACTCTAAGAACATGCAGCAAAAATTATCAACTCAATATCAAATGCCTTGCTTATGTCAAGTTTTATGGCTACATTTCCACCTGTTATTTCATTATCTAAACCTATGGTAGATCACCAAGCGCAAGCCAAGTTGCTCCAAGCTCAATCAATTTCTTGCACCAAGCGAACTAGAATTACGCTAAGATAAAACTTGAAAACTTTTAATCTTGAAATAATCACGCCTGCGCCAAGCTGAATATTGTATGCTAAGAGAAGCTGAACCATGGGCAAGAAATTTGGAAGTTTTGAATCTTGAATCTTGGAGCATTCTCTCAAATTTTTAACCACCAAGGAATGTGATAGTTCTTAAAGAAGAAAAAACTTAAATTTAAAATGAATCTTGTAAAGTAACATACAAACTTTCAGAAGTACAAGTGCTAAAACTTCACTTTACTCATGTAAAAGCAATTGATGTCTTATTTTATTAATATAAAAATATTTTTACAAGATAATTAAGTTGTTAGGTCTTATTTTGAGGCTAGAAAAGTCATTCATGAATTTGGGTATGATCACACAAAAATTGGTACCTGGGTGATTATTTGCAATCAACATCTTATCTAACATGAAAGTTTTTTCAATATAAAGATCGTGATATAAAAGGTAACTCTCAAATGTTATGCATTATATATTTACCTTTTACTCCAAGGTTACAACAATTATATATATAACCTAATATTGCCTAAGAAATTAGGTGGCCTAAGGATAACTCTTTTGATGAAGATAGGAAATAAAACATTCAATTGATTCTATTTCTTGGAAATATTTTTATTCATAATATCCATCTTTTGCAACATATTCATGCAATGTTAGACCGAACCTAGAAAGTGATAAATTTTAAAATTAATTAATTAAATTAATTCTATTATTTGACTCATGTGAAATATAATTATGGGCCCAAATGTGATTTAATAAAATATAAGGACCTATTGGTTATTATGTGAAGTCAGAATAAAATAAAGATAAAATAAAATAAAAAGCATACGATAACCAACTTGATGGATGTTGGTTAATAAAATGGAATTAGGGTTTTATCTTTAGCCATAAGGATCTATCACAAAAAGCCATAAGGAAAGCATGAGAAGAGAAAGAAAGGGAAAGAAATAGATTGGGAAAAGGAGGTTGGAGAACAAAGAGATTAAAGAATATACTCTCATGGATCAAGGTTAGTCTTCTTTTTATGATTCATGTATTATATTGTGAAAATCAATAATCTAAAGATCCTGTAGAGTAGTTTTCTAGAATGAATTAAGAACGTAGGAAAATTACAAATTAACTTACATGTGGTATCAAAGCAAGTTATTAGATTTATGATTTTCCTTTTATGAAAGTTTTCCCAAATTATGTTTTTCCCAAATTAAGATAAACTCTAATTATGAATTTAGGGATATCTCTATCAGATTAGTAGGAACCCTAATTTATTCCCAAATTTGTTTTTCTCAAAATTAAATAAAGGAATAAACCTAATTTATGTTATAAACTCTAATCAATTTCAAATTGAAACCAATTTCAAGCCCTATGCGTGTCCGACGGTGAAACTCTCCTGAATTTGAATTTTCGATTCCCACTGAATGTACTTTCTTTCGTGTCAATTTTATTGTGTGTTTCCATGTTAAAATGCTCACATGGGATTAGGGATTTTTATGTGTTTGTTTAACCTGAAATGTACATTGTATCCTACATAAAAGGATTACTGTGAATTTTGTTAAATAAACTGGATCACGAGGTAATCTACTGGGCTCATGCACTCTGCTGGGCTCAGGAAAGTCCCCGGACTTGATCTGCAAAAATGTGGACCCGTAAAGGGGTACCTTCGAGTTGGAACTAGTATTTGGTCTTCGGACCTAAGGGGCTGAGACACGTGAGGAGCCTTGTCTAGTCCCGTCGAATAATCTGGTTGATTTCACATTTGTTAAGTAGTATAATTGATTAACGAACCATGAGAGTGAAAGAATCATTTTATGGAATAATCTGCAATCGATGGATGAATTAATGCAATTGCGGATTATGGAATAATCCACAATTGAATTATGAATGTGAAATGTGAATGTTACTATAGAGTGCAAATGAGAATACGTGAATGACCTCTTTTAAATTCCATTAAGTGATTGAGAAATTTAATAATTTTATTTTATTATATGAAGAATGAATTTTAATTTGCAATAATAATGTAATCTTTTGTTATTGCTAAATGAAAAATTAATAGAAAATGCTATGAATGATTAATAGCAATTAAAAATATTATTTATTTGAAATTAAGCATGATAAATTTTGGTAGTCACCAAAGTGGCCAAAATTTTAAGGTTATTTTGATTTCAAATTATTAATGATTTTATTTCAATTACCCATAGTATGAACGCTAAAATTATGAATAATGATTTATGGGTTAATTGAAGTTCATTATTATAAGACATTTCAGGATCACCCAAAAGTTGATTAGTTGTTATTATAATTAATGAACATGAAAGTGGATAATTTTGTGTGTCACTAGTTTTATTTATATACCCAAAGGTGTTAGATGATTCTAGTTGATGCATATTTTAATTATCATTAATGTTATAAAATGATTAATGTAATTATGTTTGTGTATTAGTGGATCTCCCAAAGGAGAACATTAGTATGCATAGAATGGTTAGTTATGGTTGAATCTGTATTTATGTTTAATTTTTATGACTCAAAGAGTTAATGTTTAGCATGTGTTAATTGCAGTATCTATTATTGTATCTCTACATTCGCTTACTTCGTCTGCTTCAGTCTTTAATGGGTTAAATTTCCCTAATTGGAGTGAACAAGTCATATTTCACTTAGGTGTGTTGGATCTTGATTTGGCTTTCCAAGTTGAAAAACTTGCTGCTATCACTGATGCTAGTAGCAATGAAGAGAAAATTCATTATAGAGCTTGGAAAAGATCAAACATATTTAGTCTTATGTTTATGTGAATGAGTATAGCAAGCAATATTAAGTCTGTTCTTCCTAAAACCGATGACGCGAAAGAGTTTATGAAATTTATGGAAGAGCGCTTTTAAACTATTGACAAGTCTCTCTTTGGGACATTGATGAATACGTTGACCACCATGAAGTTTGATGGTTCTCGTAGTATGCATGAACACGTAATCGAAATGACAAATATCGCAGCAAGACTCAAGTCTCTTGGAATGGCAGTGGAATAAAATTTTCTTGTGCAGTTCATTTTGAACTCGTTATCATCTGAGTATGATCTGTTCCAGATGAACTATAACACCATGAAATACAAATGGAATATGCATGAATTGCACAGTATGTTAGTCCAGGAGGAGACCAGACTCAAGAACTTAGGAAGTCACTCTATTCATTACATGAAAAATCAAGGAGCTAAAAAGAAAGTTGTTAAGAAACATGGAAAGGGTAAAGTACCATTCAAGATTAGCGAGTCCTCTACTAATATTCAAAAGAAAAATGACAAATTTCATTTCTACGGGAAGTCTAGAATTTTCAGAAGGACTACTTAAAGCGTAAAAGTTTGGTTCGAAAAGAAAGATGAGCATAGTGCTTACGTATGTTTTGAATCAAATTTAACTGAAGTTCCCCATAATACTTGGTGGATTGATTCTGGATGTACGACTCATGTTTCTAATGTGATACAGAGATTCCTTTCAACTCGAACCATAAACCCAAATGAGAAGTTCGTCTTCATGGGAAATAAAGTGAAAGTTTCAGTTGAAGCTGTCGGGACTTATCGTTTAATCCTTGACACTGGATATCACTTAGACCTTATGGATACTTTTTATGTACCTAGTATCACTAGGAATTTAGTTTTTTTGTCTAAGCTTGATGTTGTTGGATACTCTTTTAAGTTTGGGAATGGTTGTTTCAGTTTGTTTAAGCGTACTTGTATGATTGGAACTAGTACACTTTATGATGGTTTATATAGATAGAATTTGGATAATTTATATGCTGAAACTCTCATGACCTTGCATCACAATGTTGGCACTAAACGTAGTTTGATGGATGAACGATCTACTTACTTGTGGCATAAGCGTTTGAGACATATTTCCAAAGAAAGAATGCAAATATTAGTAAAGAATGAAATCCTTCCGAATTTAGATTTTACTGATCTAAATATATGTGTGGATTTTATTAAAGGCAAACAAATAAAACACATAAAGAAAGGAGCCACAAGAAGCACTCAACTTCTTGAAATCATACACACTAATATATGTGGTCCATTTGACGTAAATTCTTTTAATAAAGATAAGTATTTTATCACCTTCATTGACGATTTCTTGCGTTATGGATATGTCTATTTACTACATGAGAAATCTCAAGCAGTTAATGCCTTGGAAGTTTATATAAATGAAGTGGAGAGGCAATTAGATAGAAAGGTAAAAATTGTCAGGTCAGATAGAGGTGGTAAGTATTATGGAAGATATGATGAAAGTGGACAACACCCTGGTCCGTTTGCTAAGTTCCTTGAGAAGCGTGGTATTTGTACTCAATACACAATGTCATGCACACCGCAACAAAATGTGTGTCTGAAAGGCGTAATCGAACCTTAATGGATATGGTTAGGAGCATGTTAAGTAATTCATGTTTATCTATATCGTTGTGGATGTATGCTTTGAAGACTACCTTGTATTTGTTGAACAGGGTTCCTAGTAAAGTTGTTCAAAAGACTCCTTTTGAGTTATGGACAAGTAGAAAACCTAGTTTGAGACACCTACATGTTTGGGGTTGTCAGGCAGAAGTAAGAATTTACAATCCACAAGAAAAGAAACTGGATGCAAGAACAATCAGCGGATATTTCATTGGTTATCCAGAAAAATCAAAAGGATATATGTTTTACTGTCCTACTCATAATACAAGAATTGTTGAAACTGAAAATGCTCGGTTCATTGAAAATGGTGAAACCAGTGAGAGTGAAGCTTCACAAAATGTGGAGATTAAGGAAGTTAGAGTACAAATTCCTATAACTGGTACATCTTCTTCAAGAGTTATTGTTCCACATGTTGTAGAACCACACGATAATCAAGAAGAATAACACATTAATGATACTGAGATTGATAATAGAACAACCACAAGAAATAGTATTAAGAAGATCTCACAGAGAAAGAAATTATGCTACTTTGAATGATTATTTGGTTTATCTATAAGAGTTAGAAAATGACTTAAGTATTAACAATGACCTAGTTTCATTTTCAGAAGCCATTAATGGTGAAAATTCTGACAAATGGTTAGATGCTATGAAAGATGAGATTGAATCAATGACACATAATGGTGTATGAGATCTTGTGGAAT